GCTTGGCTGTTGTAACAAAGTAGAACCCGGATGATGCAGATTCCTGCTTGTGGTTTTGTCGCATGCTAAGTAGCGTAGTGCACATAGCCGCTGGCTTGCGAGTGCGAGGGTCAGCGCTTGAGGTGTGGCAGGCAAGTCTCGTGTAATATTAGGTAGATCCCAAGGTCCTTGATCGGGCCCACGGCCCAGAGTATCCTTTGTGTGCAATGCAGAAGGGCGCAGGATGCGTGAGTCAAGGAGAATGGTTTGTGGTGCCTTTGCAACTCAGCGTTCTAGGTAGTTGGGCAGTTGATGTCAATCAAAGTTGTCAGCTGGCGCAAGCTCAGTGATAGTCTTGAGTCATGGCGCTCGAGAGCGAAGCGTCCATCCGCGCTCGATGTTTGTCGTGTGGCTCGCCAGAGAACATTGTCCAAGAGATGCATGGTGGGGGCATCACCACCTTTGCAGGGCTGGCTTTCTGTACGCTGCATCAGGCAAACGCAGGAATAGATGACGCCGCTCTCATGAACCACGTTAATGGCGACCCCGTCATCGGTGGCCAGTCTCAGGAGGTTTGCCGTTGAGGCCCAAGCGTTGGCTTGCAGGATCTCAAGTCCAAGCTCGAAAGCCCGGCTGAGCACGAGACCAAGATCCTCCCCCTCCCTCAGGAAAAGATGGCCAGGTTGACAAGGCAAAAGGAACGCGTGGTTGGTGTCGTGCTAACACTGCACAACACCTCGAGCCACTCTCTCATCGACAAGGCATGCTCCCAATTGGAAGAGGGCTCACTTCGGTGGATTCATCCCAGTAGGTGCACATCGCGGGACTCCGAGGCCCTCTCTGAAAAGCCCAAGACTTCTTTGTCGCTTGACTCCACGGGTTCCTTCAAGGTCAGCAGCACGTCCATCGACAAAGCGTGCGACGCCAGCAGTGCCCACCTCTTGCGTGTGGCTCTGTGACGGCGAGCTTTCGCATATGACATCGCGAACTTCTTTAGCTTCGACGTCATGACCAGTCGTTCTTTGATCTCATCATGAACCTCCTCCAGCCAATTGATCGCGGCGGACAGGCCTTGTGGCTTCTGGTTGCTGAGGACACGAGGGCCAAGCTCATTGAGATGGACCCGGATAATGTCACGCTACGCCTTTGCGAGTCACATGTGAACTACTACGCGGACCACCCTGACGTCCTCTTCCACTTCATGCCTCTCAAGTCGGGAGGCTCCTAAGCCCTAAGCGGGTGGCAACCACGACCGCCCCCACTCGTCACTCGTCGTCGAAACGATCGGAAATGGAACCAGGGCCAACCATCCAAGCAGTTATCCCAAGCCAGCCCTGAGGACGCTACGTGCAGTGCGGCTGATGATATCCCGGTCAGAACTATAAAGCACAAGCCACAAAGCCAGTTAAACAAGATGGCTAGCATGAAGTCGCTGGAGCTATGGCTCGAGCACCCCTGCCACCCAAGGAGAAGCGGAAGTAACCCGGGCGTATCGAACATTCCCCGGATCTGAAAAGCTACCAGACCAGAGTGTAAAGAGATGATTGCAAAATTGCAATCGCGGAAAGACAAGAAATCAATCAAGATGCTGTGCGGATAGGGTGAACCGTTTGGGGCTTCCTGCGTTCACGGTTCGACTCTGTTAGACATAGGAATTTTAGTTCCAGGCGGGCTCCAATCGAATTTCCAATTCCCAGCTACAACCAGAGCAACCGGAAGGTCGGCATTTTCAATTTCGAGCGCAAGACCCATACGGACGCAAGGAGTCACGGAGCCGAACCGTCAGAAAGGATATGGATAAAACTTGGCAGCCCCAGCCAATGACCAAGTCGTGAGACAGCGGTCAGCTGGGCAGTTACATACAGCCCACACAATGCTTCATACATCGGTGGAGCTTCAAGATTCAGGGCCACTTTGTTCCCGGCGACAAGTTCTTTGCCGCAGTGCAACCGATTCGTCCAGCTTTGACAGCCTTGACACACCTTCCATCCCTGGATATATTTGGAGATCGTCCGGCACGGCTTTGCACCGTGCTTTGGAATTTACATCGCGGGTGTTCAGGAGATGTTGGAGCGAATTTTGTTCTCACCCCGCAGCCACTCACGCTCTACCACACTGCTTCAGGGCTCATGGATCATGTCCTGAGCCAATTGTCCTATCCCGATTGAGATTCATTTAGGTCCTGACACCCTTGACGTTCATCCAGATTCAACCTTAAACTACCAAAGTTTGTGAACCCAGCTCGATTGAGATGGCGTCGTTGCGCTGGATGCTGGCTGTACCACTCGCTTCTTTTTCCGGCATCAGCTTAAGGCTGATGCTTCTGCATGCCTGGTGCAACCGAAGTCTTACATCGTAGCAGGGATCTTCAACAAATCTTATCAATCTGGAACCAACCAAGATGTCACGAGTGTGCTGCAGACTGGTGCGACTGACTTCCCCAGTATGTGGTTCCCATGTGATTGATTTCTAAACACGTTTAGCAAAAGGATCAGAGGTGGTGGGGATGCAAGAGCGCCCGAGCGAGCGAGAGCGAGAGAGAGAGCCAGAGAGACAGAGAGACATACACGCACGGACGGACGGACGGATGGAGACAGCCAGCCAGCAAGCCAGACAGACAGTTGACGACACGGTTTAGGGCTTAGGATGTCAATCTATCGCTTGATGGTTGTTGCCCCAAGAAGCAGATGAAGCAGACAAGAGAGCAGAAGACAGCACCAACAGGCGGTTGACAACAGTTTGATCGCAGGCTTTGCTCAGAGGAGCTGGTGGAGAGGGCCGACTTACTTTCGAGGTTGACATCCGAGTACGCCGCCCCCCATGTTTATCAATCAGGCCCGTGTTGGTGGGAATAGAGGCGACCATGCAAATTTGAATCCAAATGAATTCTGCACGCTTCATTCTGCTTGAACGTTTGTTTGCGATTCTACAAGGTTGTCACCCCTCCCTGCAGACCCGTGTTCACGACCTAATTTCCTGCATTCGGCGAAATTGGATTCCTTTGGAGTGGGAGCCTTCTGTGTAACCTTCGCTAGATCCTGAGCCCTCCGCGTGCAAGCCAGCCTGGCCGACACGTCTCAGGGTATTACGGGTTTAGGATTGCCAGACGCTTCAGAGTTGGAAGACTCGCGAGCCATACTCTGCACATCGTTGCTTGATGCTGTGATAGGTGCGCACTGTATCTGCAGACCAGTCCTGAAACAAGTCCCAAAGCCGAGACTTGAAACTATGACCAACCATCGTTCCATGACACGCTGCCCCCGAAACCACAGGCCCTCATCAATCTTAAGCCTTGATCCTGAGTTCCCTGAGCCCCGTAAGACCACAGGCCGTGAGCTCGTGAGCCTTCAATGCCGAAGAAACTCCAGCATCTCGGCTGCCACAAAACATCGGAGCTCTTGTGGTTACTCTTTTGGCTTCATGCTTGAATTCCAGTTCGTGTCTTCGTTGTGGATGTCTTCAGAACACATCTAAAGAAGCAGCCCAATCTATGCACAACATGAGCGTACCTATACAGCCTATACATATATATATATATATATATATGTATATACATATGGCATAATATGCGTATATATATATATACACATATGTATCGTCTGGTCGTATGTCTGTATGTCTGTATGTATGTATGTAAGTAAGTATGTATGTAAGTATGTAAGTAAGTAAGTAAGTAAGTAAGTAAGTAAGTAAGTATGTATGTATGTATGTATGTATGTATGTATGTATGTATGTGTGTTGTATGTACGTGTGTATGTATGTGTGTATGTATGTATGTATGTATGTATGTATGTATGTATGTTTGTACATGTACATGTACATATACACATATACATACACTTACATATACATATACATTTACATATACTTTTATCTTTTCATATACATATATCTTTATGTACATGTCTACGTTCAGGTACTGTGCACAGTACGCTTACATGCACAATGTGCACATACACATACATATACACATACATATGCATGTACATATACATGCACCTGTACATGTACACGTGCATATGCGCAGACATACACATACTCAAGCACGTACACATTCACATGCAGATGATGATGCATATGCATATGCATATACATGCACATGCACATGTACATACACACATCTGTTTGCACATGCACACATACGCGCTTCTTCTGCGTTTTGGGATGTATGGCACACGTTTTTCACAGATGCCTACAGGCTCTGGGTCACCGGAATTGCGGTTGACCCACATGAGCCAAAAGGCATCCTTTGGATCCAGTCCAGTTTCCACCAACCCCGAACTGAGGTCAGCTTCCGGATGAGTGGCATATGGTGAGGTATGACCTACCTCCCAGCCTTGCGAAGAAACTGCGGCCAGCAGTTCCTCCCAAGTTATGTACCGCATCTGCGCTTGTTCAGAATTTGCCCGTTGTTCTATGTCCAAGAGGCATGCACGCCATTTCAATTGGGTTCTGCGCAGGTCGCCGTGTGTAAGTCTCGGGTTTCGGAATTAGAGCTTGGATCAGTCGAGCCTGTCGTAGTTTGCCGTGCTGAGGTCCCATGTGCAAAGGAGGAGGCGTCATCAGTTCTGCAAGTTGTGAGCAAGCTGTCTCAGTTGCAATCCAGACTCTGCCCCGAACACGAAACGGCAATCCCTGACTTTTTGGGGCCAGGTGGATCTGGACCCACTTTGTTTCTCACAGAACGCACTGATGGCAACTGGGCTGCGAGAGGGCTCCGGTCCGCAATCATCCTGGCTGAAGTTGGGCTGCTCAAGGCTTAGGGTGTGCAGTTCAAGGGTTATCCCCGAGCGCTTCTGACTTTGACTAGGTGCGTATGGTATATAACGACATCTAGAGGTTCACAGTGCATGACAATGCAAAGTAGTTTGGAAATTAATTGATGTGGATAAGCATTGTTGAGAGCTGAGAGCGGCGATGAAAACTCTAACCCTACATCTTCAATTCCGATCTTTAACTCTAAGGCCCTGATTTCAACCCTACAGTCAGCCGTAGATCCGAAGCCCAGCCTACTTGAGTCCGTTTAAAACAGGTCTTGGGTCTCGCGCGCAGCAGCTGCTTCATACGCTGGCCTTGGCTTCCTTCCTCCACATTGATTTCGGCGGCGTGGTGCCGACGCCTGGCAAAATTGTTGAACTCTGGCTTAAGGGTTAGCGTTTGGTGTTGTGAAAATGGTGTGTTTTGCTGAATATCCCTACGCAGAATGACGAGGGATCATTATCATTCACGAACTGTCTCTTCTCATGCCTCGAGATCTCTGCCAGTCCTGTTATGGGCGTTGTGCCACATGTCACATCTCAGAGCTCCCAAACGCGAAAGCGCCAGGTCTTGCGAAGCCCCAAACGCAGAATCCAGGTCGAAAGATGAGACACCTCATGGTGTCAACGCGGCAGGTGCACTTAGCAAACTGCTGGGGTTCGACGTTTCCAAGCTCTTGGCCTGACCAGATTTACAGTTCTTTGGGTTTGGTAGGCTTTTCGTTTATTTGTGCTTGGGTTTTCTAAATTCGTCATCTGACAGTGGTCGGTACAGGTTTCTGTATAGCATGGAGGCATTGAAAGATGAGAAGCCAAAGAAATCACAGTGTGCCCCTAGGCTGAGAGTTGGTGCAGACGACGAGTTTGACATCTGCTTTTATAGCTGCCCAGCTTTTGATTACTGACTATCGTTTCTTGGCTTCTGGTTTGGGATTGAATTAGGCCCTTAGGCTTGCTGATGTACGCTGCCAGACAATAAGTCAGTGCCCATGATCTGTTCAAGAACACTGTCGAATCATTTGTAGATCTTCTCCGCGACGGTGCCACAGACACCGGAGCCCGACTGACAGTGTGCTTCCTGTAAACCCAACCTGTCGTACATCCTAAAATGCGGCATGTACTGAGCAGATAAGGCTTTCCGGACTTCTTGACCGAAACTTTGCAGCACCACTGCCTGCAGTGGCCATCGCATTCAAGCATGATGGTGGATGGCTTACGATCCGAAGCACTGTTCAGGTTTGCCGGTGTCGTTGGTCGCGTGGTTGTGACGGTCGTTGCAGGTGGCGGCGTATGACGTACTGCATGCGCTTCCGGTCTCGAGACTTGGTCCCGCCGTCCAGTTTTACCGCATGTTTAGTAGAGGTTTCGGTTCCTTGATCGAGCATCTTTCTCACGCCCCTTATGGGGGTCAACAAGCGAAAGAAATAATTCGCATTGTTGAAGTATCCCGAGTCACAGTGTTTTTATTAGATGGTTGTTTGTTGCTTGCTTGGCAGGCTTTTGTGGGAAAATACGAACAGTAACAGATGCTGTGCCCGAACCATGGCATTGCTGGTCCGTGGGGCGCCTGAAGGAAGCATTTTCGGTTGATGTGCATGAACGCAGCAACAATCTAGATCGGAGGAATTGGGAACCGGGCTTCCTGGCTCAGCTCCGACGGCAGACGCCGTTGCGCGACTGGCCGCTGAGACACTTCCAACATGGGGGCCGCCCCAAGGCAAGATCCACCCTTGCTTGGTGTGCAGAGTCTTTATGCATTCAGGCTTCGGGGTTGATTGACGTATCAGCAGTGCCAAGAGTTGATTCCAACTTCCAGTCCATGAGTCCATGAGCTGGCATTTTGGCGCCGCCTTGCTCCGTAGTGTCGCAGAAGGATCTTGAAGAGAGGGCTCGGTGCGAGAACATGAGCTACTGTCTCAAGCTAGGCCCCACACCCCTACACCCGTAAGCCCCTGGAAGTGAAGTCTGAATGTCTGTTGCAAGAGGTGGTCATGCATGTTCGACGTGGAGATGTGGTTGGTCGCGGGAGTCTCGTCAGCTGTCCATTTCTTATGCGCTGAGGTATCTCAAGGAAGTTCAGCACAGAGTGTTGACTTGCTCAGAGCCATGTGGCCTCAGCGGGTTACATGCCACTCAGGAGAAATCTCAGGAACTTTCCGGATGATGTCCACTTTCGTTTGGCAGAGCAGATTCGCCAGGATTTGCCTCAGGCCTGGCATGTGTTGGGCGTTGGGCTCATACATTCACACTTCGGGTTAGCCAATTTCTAGCTTCCACTCGCCCGCCTCAAAGCTCTACTGTAATGCTCCGTGGTGCGGTGAGGCTGAAGTCCACGTATTCAGCACCACCAAGGAGGCTCAGGGTCCTGTGGACTTCGCTGGTTACGAGGCGATGATAGTGTTGGGGTGGTAAGGTTTCGGGTTGGCGGTCGAGGTCGCTGGCGTTTCCACATTTTCGATGTCAGATACAACGGTGAAGTTCACAAGGTTGGAGCAACATAAGCGGTTGTTCTCAATCCGATTTTCGGGGAGTGAAGAAGCTACCGTGTTGTTCAGATCGTTCCCTTTTAGTGCCCCCTTTGAGATTGCACACACTCTAGGGCTCATGGTTTAGGGTTCCAGGCTTTAGGCCCCTAACCTTCCACATGATTCCGGTGGAGCCCAGACAATATGTAGGTCTTCACGAAGGTGATGTGCTTATCCGAACCATCAAACCCTAAACCTCGACCCCAAACCCTAAACCCTAAACCCCAAACCCTAAACCCCAAACCCTAAACCCCAAACCCGAAACTATCAGTGCATTAGCGCTTGGCAATCGTGCGTGCAAGATGCTGAGAGGCACGGGGAATGATTGTGCATCTGGACGGCGAGGAGGTTGACGACTGGGCACACATGGCGTGACCTGGTGTCGACAAGTGCGTTTTGTGCATTTCTTCCATTCTGAGCTTAAACCCTAGACAAGATTTCGTTTTTTTTTCGAAAGACAAGACAGTGCAGCAAAAGGCAGGCTGACATCCTCGTTGTGGCTCCCAGTGCTTTTTCTTGGGTTGCAGCGCTGATCAACGAGAAGTGCCTTGCAGTTCTATAGCTTGTAGGCTCTAGGGACTCTAGGGTTCACGTGATTCATGCAATTTTATGGTTTCCTCGGGTTTAGAGAGGCTTGTTAAAGACTCTGGCAAACATGACAGTGAACCCCAAACGCTGCTCAGGTGTGTTCTAGCCTTCCATGGCACGGAAGCTCTGCCTGATTGGATCGTACATACGGGCACCTTGCACGATGAGCAGCATGCTCAGCTCGGACGGTGCATAGACGACCGCATCTTGACGCAGACCTGACTGGGTGAGATACGACAGCCTTTCCGTGCAACGAATCACTGGACTTCCTGCTGCAACACACTGTAGAGTAGAGTTGTTGTCTCCAAGTTTGACAAAGTTTTGCAGGATCCTCAACCTGAAACCTGCTTTCGTCCCTTTTCGTGTCTCAGAAAGGTTTCCAAGAGTCCACGAAGCAGCTTTCATTGCTCTTACAGTAGCTAGCTTCTTTCTTCTTTGTCTATGCTTGCCGCGCTTCCTGTCGCTACGATGTCGTTTACCGTGTTTGCTGCCGTTATCATGACTACAATAACTGGATACTACCATCTTGATAGCGGTTACACGGCGTTGGATCGGCACGGATTGTGTGTTTCGTGCCATTTCAGAATTACCATTACAGCTTGAACAATGTTCAGCGCCACTAGTTCTTTTTGGTAGGAGGACTCGTGTTAGTGATATTGCGGTTCTTGTATCTTGCCGGCGAGCATGCGAAGCACAAGCCCGATGAAGTCCATCTACGGCACTGCCCCGAAGCCCAAAACAGATGCATGGAGCTATACCAAAGGCAACACCCACACTGAGAGCAATAGAACCAGCAACAGCTCCCGAAGTCACGGTTGAGGCAGCGGCATTGGCAGCGGTAGCAGTAGTGGTACTCGTCGTCGTAGTCCGAATCCTAGTCCTAGTCCTAGTCGTCGTAGGCGTAAGGGTAGGGGTAGGGGTGGGGGTAGGGGTAGCAGTAGCAGCAGTAGCAGCAGCAGTAGCAGCAGCAGCAGTAGCAGTAGGAGTAGGAGTGAGTAGGAGCAGGAG